CCCCAAAACCCCAAAACCCCAAAACCCCTGCAATGCTTAATCACATTTTAAAGGAGATGCAGTATAAATTATTGATAATTCTTCAATAAAATGGCTTTATTCAGCGAAAATGAATTTATATTTTCCTTTGAGCAAATTGAGAAAGCAGGAGAAGTGGAAACACAAAAAGCATTTAATGAAGAGGAATTACTGGAGAAAGATGAGTAGTACTACTTTAGCAAAGATTAGTATTTCTCGCCAGTCAAGAGAGGTGTGGTTGAGTTAGATGACAAAATATTTAAGATATACACATAAGCCTTACTGCATTACAGGAGGCAGGATTTTGATGTATTAGAATATAATTTGACATTAACTTTTAGTTAGAGGACATTTATAACGATGCATTGAATGTCAGTTCGATATTTATGAACAAGACTTCTCTACTGTAATATGTTGACAAGTAATTCAATACTATTGTGGACTAGGAAGTTGAGTAAAAGAGCAAAGCACTAGATTCCTTATACCAGACTCTATCAAATTAATTCCCAGGGTTTTATGTACCCAAGCTAAGTAAAAGATAGAAGAAACTTCTTTAAAGTGGAACTCCATTGGAAAAGCGAGAATTAGTTAAGAACTATATAATTAGACTATCAGACTATCAATATCTAATCTAGCATAAAGCATTCAAATCATTCATTGAGAAAAAGATTGAGATTAAAAAACATCTTAGTGATCCTAATAGTTTCGGAGTGGAAGGAGATCCTATTGAAGTTGCTGAGAGATTCAGAGAGACGTTTGGCTATCTAATGGAGTTGTAGATCAAAGATCAAGATATTAAGATCATAGATTTATTTGACCAGTACATTAAGAGTAAGAATCTCGAGTTATAGCAGATGAAGAAGGAGCTTAAGACTATCAAGAGTAAGTGTGTTGCAGAATATAAGGTTGAAGGAAAGATATCAAACCAAAAGGTTACATACCAAAGCTTCTACTATCATCTTAAAACTACTGCTGAAGTATTAGGCATTAAGAACAGAGAGTTTATGAATTTGCAAATCAACACCCAGTCACAGAGAGTAAGAAGTTACTGTCAATAAAAAAGTGTTATAGATATAAAGTCAAAGAGATGAAATTTAAGAACTTATGAATTATGTTGATGAAGAAATTAGTGAACTAGATGTAGGGATATTTGATTTAATAATAATTATAGAGCTTTAAGGATGCTATAGTGGTGTTAAAAAGGTACTTGAACACTAGAAACTAACTAAGACTTAAAATGTCCAAGTCAGTAGATCAATACAACAACTATGTCATTTCTAAGAATATGGATTCGGTAAAAGCATTATTATATATATAACTCCATTTTAGAGAAGACGTTAAACAATGGATGAGACTGGGTTAAAGGAGGATGATAATCCTGGTTCAAGAGACTCTTAATCGGCTAAATAAAAAAAGACTACTGTAGAAAAGCTTGAGGATGAAATGGAGTAATTAAGTTTCGAAAATGGGGCTTATGAGACTATCTGCTAGATCATGATTGCTAACATGGCTACTTTTGATATTGAGAAATTTAAAGCTCAAAGGCAGAAGAGCTATTACTATTTGATTTCCCAGTTAGCTAGAAAGAAACTAGAGGATTTGAAAAATGGCAATTAACACTTTGAACATATGATTAATGTCCTAAGTATGTGAACTATTGAATGGAAATTATTAATCTTAATTTCATCAACTCGATAGTTTGATTATAGCATATCAACAGGGGTTTTGGGGTTTTGGGGTTTTGGGG